CCTACCCTACTTCTTCACACATCACATTTTGATGTATCTATGTCTAACTTCTGGATCACGCATTGCAAGGTCACATGGAAAACGGAGACTTTTTTCCTGCCCAAATCCTACCTTTTCCTCCTCCTCCTCCTCTTCCTCCCTAGTGGTGGTGGTGGTGAGAGAGAGGTGACAATTGTACCGATCCTTGTATTGATAATGCTTTATACATAAGACAGCATGATCAAACAAAACTGACTGACCGGCTTTCAATGCGTAGATCTCGACGTTTTCATCCAAACCTAAAAAAAAGGGGACAAAAAGGCCATCACCTTGTCGACGCGACAACTGATGCATGGGTTGATGACACTTTGGGGGAAGAGAGGTGGTGAATGGGAGAGGATTTGGCATTACCTAGGTCTACCTGTGATAGCTAACCACTCATCCAACCGTTGAAGATAGCGTCGGAATTCTTTCACATTGCGAAATATTTGTTTTCGACTTTCAGAGGGTGCATTCTTGGTGGGCAAAATCTCCTCCACTCTTGACCGAGCAAGTTGAGCCTCACCTTTTGACACAAGTGATAGCACAAGGACTATGAAACACACTAGTCCAAACCACGAAATTGGTCGAGTTGGAACGCCAGTAAGGGTTACCTTCTTAACCTAAAAAAGGTGTGTGTGATGTCACCTTTGGGCATGAGAGAAAGGGGCAAAGCAGCACGTCAACCGATGGGAGGTCGCGGTGTCAGCCCGTCTGTCATATACAAAGTAAAACTTTTTTCACAAATTCTCACTTCATTTATGTTCTTGCAGTCACCTTTGGTCTCTAATTAGTCAGTGTGAAGTGGTGGTGAGGACCACCTCGATGATTCACTTTTATTTTGTCGGTTCGCTTATTGTCTGTTCTTGGCCTTAGAGGACAACGGTTGTAGAGACATTTTTAGGCAGGGTCAGGGGTCAAAGTGATACCACTTCTTCACCCACTTGTTTTATTCAAAGGGGTTTAAAAATCCATTGCATTAATTGCAAAGGTCAAAGCTCCAGAGAGGAGGGAGGGGAGTAGGCGTAACAATGGTGTTGTAGACTTTCATCCATGTCATGAGGGAGGGAGATGAGGGGGTCTTGATGGCCTCTTTATGCCGTTCTGTAATGGGAACATGAAAGTGGAACCTTCTGGGTCAGGCGTAAAGGCAGCACGGATGTTCACTGTGTCAATCAAACTGTTTTCCTTAC